AAATCCTAAATCCTAATCCCTAAACCACTGAACCCGGAAACCCTACATCCCTAAAGCCAGAAAACTTAAACGCTGCTTAGGGTATTGAGTTTTCTATGGCTTGGGGAGGCTTAAGGGCACCTAAACCCTAAACCCTATTCTAATTATAAAGGACCCTACATTAACAGGTACCTGCGCTTGCAGATGCCTATGACCATGCGCGCCTTCTCAGGCCTTTTTGTGGTTAAGGGGTTAATGATTAGTGATTTCTCGGGCGGGTTAAGTGTTTTTTTTGGGAGGGTGGGGTGGGGTGGTGGAGGTTTAGGGCTTAGTACCTTGGGCTTCCATGTGCTACAATATGCCCCAGAACCCTATTGTAAACCCTTCCATCAAAAGCACAATTCACACCAAACACTCTCGGAACATCCAAACCCCAAATCCAGAACCCAATCCTACACCCTAAACCCTAAACCCTAAACCCAAAGCTCTAAACTCCTAAACCCTAAACGCCTAAACCCTAAACCCTAAACCCAAAAAACCCTAACCCTAAACCCTAAGCCGACTTGCGCAAGCGCCTTGAGCTGGGGTTCGAAAGGCTTTCCGGTGAGGGGTTTCAAGGCTTAGGGCTGGGGGAGATGCGGGTTGAGCTCAGTCTTTTGGGGCTGCTTTGAAGCCCCGGAACCTGATCCCAATAGCGGTTTAGGGTTTAGGGTTTAGGGTCTAGGGGTTTAGGGTTTAGGGTTTAGGGTTTAGGGGTTTAGGGTTTAGGGTTTAGGGTTTAGGGTGTAGGGGTCAAGCCCGAAACTCCAAACCCCAAAGAACACACACCGAAGACCTACACCCGAATCCCTGCACCCTGAAAGCCTGCAGAATCTCCCTCGAAGCCTAAATGCTTCACCACAACCCAACGGTTTAGGGTTTAGGGTTTAGGGGACCCTAATGCGTGAAAGTGGTCCCAGAAGCCAAGAAGCTCAGGCAAGTATTTTGGATCCTGCGTTCGAGGTCTGTGCGTGATGCTTCTGCTCGCCTGGGTTTTTCGTGTCCCTGCAACGTAAACCCTAAACCCTAAACCCTAAACCCTGCAACCTAAACCTCAGCTCCTCAAACCCTGAACCCTGAATCCGCCTCAAAGGAGGGAAAGTTCATCCCTCAACACTAAAGCCCAAACCCAAAACCCCTAAACCCCTAAATCCCTAAATCCCTAAACCCTAAACCTTAAACCCTAAACCACTGAAGCCCAGATTGTAGTAGGTTCCTTCATAGAAGTCTAGGGTCTAGGGTTTAGGGTTAATGTACTTTCTTCATTATAGAACTTGGATTCCTGACTCCTGAATATAGTTTAGATTCCTTAAACTCTCGTCCTTACTGCAGTTTTGTTTTCTTGAAGATAACCAAGACTTCTTACTAAGATAACCTAGATTCTTGCCCTAACATAGGCCCCTTAGTATAGGTCCTTTATACATAGGTAAACCTATAGAAAACTCTTCTTTTGGATTCCCTAACCTAATGTATGTTGCCGAACATGAGCCCTAAACCCTTAACCCAAGAATCCTAAACCCTAAACCCTCAACCCAAAAACCCGAAACCGAAAACCCTAAGCCCGAAACCCTAAACGCTAAACCCGAAACCCTGAACCCTAAACCGCCTACAGGGGGTCCAGAACATGAGCTCTGGCGCAGCACCGCCTCCTTCGAAATCAAGATGCCCCCAGGTTCAGGGTTCAAGGGTTCAAGGGTTCAAGGGCTTAGGGTTTAGGGTTTAGGGTTTATAGGGTTTAGGGTTCAGGGTTCAAGGGTTCAAGGGTTTAGGGTTTAGGGAAGTTCAGGGTTGGTTCAGGGACGCAAGGGTTCAAGGGTGCAAGGGTTCAAGGGTTCAAGTGTTTAGGGTGTAGGGTTTGTTTAAAGCTATAGGAGGTTGCTAAAAGGCGGTACTACAAGGGAATTGGGCTTCGGTTAGGGTTTAGCGGGTAGAGGTTAAGGTTCAGCTTAGGGTTCAGGGTTTAGGGTTTAGGGTTTAGTGTTTAGTGTGGTGTAGCGTTCCGGGCTCAGGGCTGTTGGATCGTGTAAGCCCTTTGCTTATGTTCAAAAACTGTTTTTCTGGTCTTGCAGTTGTGGTTTAAATTACTTCATTAGGGTTTTCAGTTTTTAGGGCTTCAGTGGCATTTTGAAGCGAATGGTGTTTGGGGTTCACGGTTTCGGACTGGGTTTTAGCATGTAATATAGGGGCCTCAATAGTTACCTATATGATTTTGAGGGTTTCCTTATTATATTTTAATTTATACTGTAAAGGAGCCCCAAACCCTATTCTAATTATTAAGGCCCCTGTATTATTGTAGGGTTTTAGGGCTCAAAGGTTTCAGAGGCAAAGAATAAGGGCTTCGGCATCGTAGCATCAGCTGGGGCCCTAAACCCTAATGTTTAGGGTTTAGGGTTTACGGTTTAGGTAACCCTAAACCGTGGGGTTTGTCATTTTTCAAGAGTATCGACCCAGCATTGCTCTGCCTTCCAGCCCAGGACCTTTCCACGGAGGGTTCACTCTTCGTGTGCCTTCGGAAGTTCAGCTGTGTGGCCTGTCAGATAGGGTCAGTCGAGTGAGTATAGGGACCTCAATAACTACACTGGGTTTCGGGGCCACTATACTATAACTACAGCAAGGAGCCCTCAACAAAAACGACGGAGGGCAGATGCCCTGAGCACCAACAACGCGCGGCACCTCGTGTCGGGCTGTTGGGAAAGCTGGTCTTTTCTTTTCTAACAGAGATCCTTAGTCCACCAATACGCAACCTCTAAACTTTTTGGGTTCTTACAATGTAGTAGTAATCTAAAAGTTTAACCTTTTGTTTCCCTGGCTTTTTGGTGAAGTAAGGATCATGCGCAGGCAAATTAAGCCAGTGAGTTGAAGAATCAAGAAGATATTGGGATGAGGGCGGAATGAGGGACCACGAGATACTTGTACAGCAACATCCTCGTATGCGTCTATGGGGTTTAGGGTTTAAGGTTTATCCCTAAACCCTAAACCCTAAACCTATTTCGGAGTCCAAGACAAAGGTCGGACTTAGGCTAGGAGAACTGGGCAGGCTACGAATGCAAGCACGCCGACCGTGCGGTGCCACCGGGCGACGCGGCCGAGCAGGCCAGCATCAGTCTGGACCAAATGGGGTTTGGGGTGAAGGCTGCTTGAGAATTTTACTCGTTGCCGTGATCTGGGGGGGAATGCATAGCTTAACTCGAAATTACCCCATTATGCCTCTGCATGTGTACGTGTACATGCACCCTAAACCCTAAACCCTAAACTTTCCAAACCCATAAACCTTACTACACCCTAAACCCTAAACTTTCTAAACTTATAAACCCTACTACACCCTAAACCCTAAACCCTAAACCCTAAACCCTAAACCCTAAACCCTAAACCCCAAACCCTAAGTGGTGTTCACGGGCTTGGGGCAGCCGGAATCCGAGGTGCCGGGTTTCGGCTTTCGGGACTCCAAGCTCTGAAGCCGGAAACACCTGCCAGCTCCTCCTGATAGGGTTGAAAGTCTTAGGGTTCTAAGGTTTAGGGTTCTCCCTAAACCCTAAACCCTAAACCCTAAACCCTAAACCCTAAACCCTAAACCCTGATAGGGTTCTAGGGTTTAGGGTTCTCCCTAACCCTAAACCCTAAACCCTAAATCAGCTTAGGGGTTTAGGGTTTAGGGTTCTAAGGTTTAGGATTCTAGGGTTTAGGGTTCTAGGGTTTAGGGTTCTAGGGTTTAGGGTTTTAGGGCTTAGGGTTCTAGGGTTTAGGGTTTTAGGGTTTAGGGTTCTAGGGTTTAGGATTCTAAGGTTTAGGATTCTAAGGTTTAGGATTCTAGGGTTTAGGGTTCTAGGGTTTAGGGTTTTAGGGTTTCGGGTTCTAAGGTATAGGGTTCCAAGGTTTAGGGTTTAGGGTTTAGGGTTCTAAGGTTCAGGGTTCTAGGGTTTAGGTCGAGGCACCCAGCAACAGTGGGGGCCTCCAAAGTATCCAGCGCAAGAGACACTTTAAGCTTGGCGTTGAAGCCCAGACATCACAACTCCCACCGTCCTAGGCAGATGCAGTTGGCAAAAGCAACATAAACCCACAGGGATCACAGGGCTCTTTTTTTGTTGTGAGGTTATGGGGGTTTACCAAAGCTTTGAAGGCTACTTAAGCTTGAAGCGTGTGAAACAACCCCTTCGCCGGCGCCAGTTGCAAATGCCGTGGCTGCCTGGCACCCGGGGTTGGAGCTACAGGGCTGGGTCTTGAAGTACTGTAGGGTTTAGGGTTCAGGCTATAGGG